AACAATACCCACAATGTACAGGTTTTATGGTGTTTTGGAAAGTTACAGGGTCAATATAGGGCTTGCCCAATTCAGTTTGCCAGATTGGTTTGCTGGGTCGGTGTTGCATTTAAGACCATATGGTAGCCCAGGTATGTGAAATGACCCCGTCATGGAATACCATTCAAATGTAGACAACCCAGGGTATTCAAAATGGGGTATTTCCAGTGTTTTGTGGCAGCCACTTAGTCACAAACACTGGCCAAAATTAGCGTTTTTATTTATTTTATTTTTTTAAATGTTTTATATATATAATACATATAATATTTTTATATTTTTTAATTTATATATATATACATATATATATATATATATATATAAACATATATATATATATATATATACACACATACTTTTATTTCCTGTATATGTATAATATATTATAATTAAAGCATTTTATAATATATTATACATATATGATGCATATATATGATTTCATTATAAGTGTATTTTGAGATGTGTATATATCTCAAAGTACACTTATAATAAAATCATATATATGCATTATATATGTATAATATATTCTAAACCTTTTTAATTATTTTTTCTCATGGCCCTGGAGGGCTGGGGTGGGCAGATCTGCTGCAGGGGGACTGCTGGTGTCTCTGGCAGTCACCCACAACCGTAATCGCCGTCCAGGCACGTCCAGGGCTCCTATTTGCTGCATATGTACTAGGTGCGTCCGCGGTCCTTAATGACCATTTTTTGTTGGATGTACCTAGTACGTCCGCGATCGTTAAGAGGGTATGTATATTAACATCATTCTAAATGTATTTTGATTTCAATATATGTATATTAATATCAAAATACAGTTAGAACAAATGTAAACCGATATATATATATATATATATATATGTATATATATATATATATATATGTTTAATTTAATAAAAATTTTATTTTATTCAATTTCATTATTGATGATTTTTTATTTTTAAATCCATTGCATTCTTTCTAGTTGGTGCATCCCTCAATTGTGACATGAAGGTGTTTATCAGGTTATTCACAAAAGTAAGAGTTCAAAGTGTATTCAAAGTGAATTACAATAGCTGAATTGGAAAAATGTCTACAAGTCAAACCTGTTTTCTGTTTGGCTAATTTAAATTTAAATTTGAAATTCACTTTAAATTCACTTAGAATTTATGGCAATTCTAACTTTAGTAAATAACCCTTTTTGTGTTTGGATGTAGAGCATAGTAATTTTAAAGGATGGCTAATTTGTTTTTCTTATCATATTTCTGGGGTTAGGGTTTTAACTCCAATGTAATATCTATACATATTCTTAGAAATAATAATTGCCCTTGAATATACGGGAAACGGCACACCATGTCACCTTTGTATTTAACTTCAAGAACCATCATTTTAAATCATAGTGATTATGGTGGTAGGAGTACCTTGGAGCTGTTACCCAATAATAGGGCAAACTGTTTTACAGGGTACGGCATGGTCTTTATTTGAGCAGGATTTATGACATTCACCTTCTGCAGAGCTGCAGAAGTTGGATGTCAATTCTGCCAATCATGTATTGGCTGAGAGTGTCAGATGGACCACTGGAGAGGAGGAGGACCACACGGAAAGTCCCCATTTACCTGCAGGCATATTCAAAGCTGTGCATCCACATGTTTTACACGAAGTACCCTGACTTAACATTCCAGCGAACAGTTACAGCACTCTCTATGACTCCACCTGCCAAAATGTTAAACTCTGGATCCTATTATCTTGCATACAGAAAATATGTCCCCCTGTGATCTATGTTAAAGGGACACCTCAGACACCAAAACATCTTTACCTAAATTAAGTTGTTAACCCCTCAGGTAGCGCAGAAGCACAGAAAAATATAGTTATTAACTTGTCCTCTAACGAATTATTAGATGATGAACAAGCAGTCCTGTCTAAAGGTTTGATATTATGTCCTAAATATTTGCCTAAGCATGTGACGGTTGATCTTGTAATTTGAGACTCAAGGTGTTTTTTTTCCTATTTTGTTAACAGTATCTGTGAATAAACCTTTGAGATTGAATTGTACAGAACTTAAGAACAAAAATATATTCAATCCACCAAGTAGTGACCATGCTTTGGAAACATATATTGATCTAGTTAAAAGAGATGTGGACAATTTGTTACACTATAGATCGGGGTAGGCAACCTATGGCACTCAAGGTGTCTTTGCACAGCACTCAAGGCTGCTAGAGCCAAACAGGCTCTGGCCTATCAGGAGTCCCAGTAAAACTTCAGATATCTGCTAATACAAAGAGGTGGTGAAGGACAATCCTCAATTTATGCATTGCAGCACATAGAGGAAGTGATCTCAGAGCACTTCATTCCAGCACTTGTGAATGGGAATCCACACAGTATTAGAGCAGCTCGCAGTTGTTGTTGCAGCTCCTGTCCTTGACCTATACCTTGCTCGCCTGGTCCCCACTGGAACCCAGAGAAGCCACCCACTCTACTTGATATACACAGAAATGCAGAATAACCCTTCCCTCATACAAATAATACGAGCAGCCCACACACAAACATACACACAATCCCCACAAATGCAACACCACTGACAATCCACATACACGCACACAACCCCACATTCAGCCTCTCACATGCAATACCCCAAACAGCCCCCACACACTACCAAATACACAATGTGACATATCCATCCACAGACACAACTCCACAAGCAGCCCTCATACACAGCCCACATTCATATGTATGCTATACAATACCATAAACTACTCATGAACATATACAATATAATAGCTCATATATGCACAAATACAACGATAGAAAAGCAATTACAGTAAAAATAACACAAGCTGAATACGGCAGCATACACACCTCAATTGAAAAAAAAAATAGGACCCGCACGCTACGGGACATCACAATCCTATATCGGCACAGTGCTGCTAAAAGGTTGCCTACCCCTGCTCTAGATATTTTGATAGAGAAGGCTATCCCCCTCCCCACTTCACCAATCTAACTGGACAGCAACTGGAAGCCTGAAAATCTTAGAAAATAATCAAGATATTGTAATAAAACCCGCAGATAAGGAAGTGTCAATGTACTTATGGATAGTGGACTATGTGGAAGAAATCTATTGAACAACTCCATGATGTTGATACTTAAAACAAGTTCAAACCAATCCTACCATGATTTTGAAATCCATGATTGATGGGGTTTTGCAAGAAGCCCTAGATAATTTGATTATGGATAACAATTTATTTAAATTTATTTCTGTTTCCTCTCTAGTTCTGTACACATTGCCTGAAATTCATACATATTTAATTGATCCACCTGGCAGACCCATAGTGGCAGGTAATGGCTCTCTTTTGTCATCTTTGACCAAATTTCTTGATCAAATATCTAGAACCCTTTTTCGTCCAGTATCAAATCATAAAGAGGTGATTGAAAAATTGAATGAAATCAATGAAGTTGACAATTTATTGATGTAATGTAATCAGCCACCACACCTCAATCACACATGGTGATCGTCTGTTGGCTACCAAAGATGTCTTGACTGAACTTGGTTATAGTGACACAGTACCTAATTTTTTTTGTTACAACTGTTACTTTGGTTATGAAGGATAATTACTTTTTGCTTCAGGAAAATTTACATTTGCAGATTAAGAGCACTTTTATGGGTTTCAATGTAGCCCCCACCTACACCAGCATTTTATGTCACAACTTGAAGGGAATTTAATCTACAAAAATGCACTTTTGAAAGATCATGCCACCATGCCAACACAGTAGAAATCCGCTTGTACAGGAAACCGCTAGATAAAAACATGGTGTTACATCACACCAGTTTCTACCCTCCTTCTCTTTTTAAAGCTCTACAAAAAACAGTATATGAGAGTTGAAAGAATAGGCTCTGGAACTGATATGCTTGATGTACATCTAGATGAGATGACTAAAAGATTCATTTAAGGCAGTTATCCCCTGACACTTTTGAAACATAAACTGATCCAAGTGAAGGATTTTAATATTCAGGAATGACTTGGCCCTAAGACTAAGCAAGTCCCATACAAGAGGATAACATTTGTTTTTCCGTCCTTAATTATTAAGAAAATCAGAGATAGGCACGAACATGTGTTATCTAATTGTCAACGAATTATTTTGGTATTTAAGAACAAACCGATGCCAGCATTTAAAAGACCATCTTCATTAAAAGATAAACTTATGAAGGATATGTTACCATTAAAACAAACTGAGTTAACAAAAAAGAAAGGTAGCTATTTATGTTTTAACGGTATCTGTTGCAATGCCATGATTTAGGGATTAGTGTTCTATCATCCTTATAGTGGCAAAACATATTTTAAAAAACAGCTGGTTACTTGCAACATTTGCTAAGTTTTTTTATATCCGTAAATGTCCATGTGGTCTGTAATATGTCTGGCAATCAAGTAAAAAAAATTAAGTAAAGATGCTCAAAGCACAAATCAACTATTATAACTGTATTGATTAAGTTACCCTTACCAGCTTTTTTTGGACAAGCTCAACAAAGCATGTCACAATTGGAATTTCAAATCATAGAACATGCAACTGAGATTATCAGGTGAGGGGACAGGATTAAGAGACTGGTTTTAGTCATTTTAATTTTGTTTAATATTTTGCACTGTCACTTTAAACTGTCTATGTCACATATTATGGATGTGTATAATGAATTGCACTATATTGATAAGACATTTTAGATTTATATACACTCTACATTAGGAAGTTATTTTATATCTCAAATGATACGCATCCTGAAACTACAAATGTGGATCAGGTCACACTAAATTTGCAAAGGCCCAATATAGACAAGTTTATTTTTAGACCTGTACCTGTTAGTGTCATTAAAAAACATCTTAATAATCTAAAAATTAAAACCCAGTCCGAACCTGATCAAATCCCAGCAATGCTGTTGAAGCTCAGTGCGCCGGCAATTGCTAAACCCGTCTAAAATTTAATTAACGAATCCTTGGTGTCTGGATACATACCCAAACTTTGGAAGACTGCGAGAGTAGTGCCTATCCATTAAAGAAGTGACACTACTTTGGTCTACCTAGTCTACTTAGTCTACCTCAATACAAAAAGAAAATGGCCCGATCCTCCTTCTCCTACAATTGTGGAACGACCTCCCGCTCAATTTAAAATCTTCCCTAAGCCTAAAGTCCTTTAAGAGATCCCTCTCTACATACCTAAAAACAGAATGCACCTGCCATGGTTGATTATATATTTCCTACCTGTTCTATGTTAAATTTTGTATTTATTGTGTATTAATATTGTTTTTGTATTTTATTGTACTCTAGTGTAACAATGCAATGATTTGTGGACCCAGGACATACTTGAAAACGAGAGAAATCTCAATGTATCTTTACTGCTAAAATATTTTATAAATAAAATATTAGGATTATATTAGTTACAAATTAGCATGTTAATTATTTATTATTTATCCTTGTATTATGTTATATCTTTTATCTCTTGCCAATGTTTTATATTTTTTTATCATAATAAATACTTTTTTTGTATATTTTTGCTCACTTTTTATCTAGTAGTGTTTTTCCTTTTTTTCTGAGTTGAGCAGGAAGAGCATGCTCCCTTGCTACCCGCCTCAGGGGGGCTCAAAGTGACCAGCTCTTAAGCCCCCCAGGACACGAGGCAAACAAGGGATCTGCCTGTGCGTTTGGGGGTGGATTTTTTTGCTGCCACCTGCAAAGTGCCGCCCAAGGCAAATGGCTTGTTTGCCTCGCGGAAGATACATCACTGGTTATAAATTAACTGAAATATTTACATTGCAGGGTAAATCCTCCTCTAGTAGCGGTCATACTGACAGCAACTAGAGGTACTTCTACAGCACTAACTGAGTAACACTCCCAAAGGAAAACATTGATTATATAGTGCCCTGTGGCAAAATGATGCCAGTGAAGTCCCCAATCTTCCTCTAAGATATCATGGTGTGTGGAGTGGTAAGCAGCATCAAAGGAGCCTTGACTCTGAAAAAAAATATGTGAAATAATTTATTTTATTTTAAGGACTCCATCCTGTCTTATGCCCAGCAGGCAGCAGTCTTGGTTCTATTATAAATAGACTGTCTCCTTGACTTCTAATGATTTATTATAAAGGCTGCTATATAAGGTCAGCTCACTCACGCAGATTTACTGAAGAGAAATCTTGAAGGGGTGCTGCCCTGCGACAGCACTGTCCCTTTAAATGTGGGAACCAACTTAGCAGAGAAATAATACAAGGACACGATGAATGGAGCAATCAAGAAAATATGTATTAAAGAAAGCCAAAGAATATAATATACAAAAACAAAATATGTACAATGCCACAAATTATATATATATATATATATATTGTGAGCGTAAAAGTGGAATTGTGATTGATGGAAGATACATCAGGCCTGATTTGTTAAACAGCAACCTGAGAATTTTCAGTTAAATGCCCCAGGGAGAGATGTTAGAGTTTGCAATCTACATTGCTGAGGTTCTGCAAAACATGGTATGGGTCCCTGGGGCGGAGTATTTGGAGAGCAGGGTGGGCCAATGCTCCAACAGCACTAGTTGCTGTGTAACAGACCACAATTTAGATCTGACTTAAGAGTTAACTAATGTGAGTGAGTGAGTGAGTAAGTAAGTAAGTATTGTGTTTATTGCAAAGCCATTTCTTTTGTTTGGAAAATTGGTAAGTGGGAAAGCCACCCAATTACAGATAGTAATTCCTGTCTAGTAAGAGCTCAAGGGATTTTGTTTGTTTTGTTATTATTTAAAGCACCTGTTTTCTTATTGAATAAAAAGGAAAACCGAGCTGAATGTGTCCTGAACTTTGTATACCCTAGAACAGTGATGGCTAACCTTTTTGAGCCCGAGTGCCCAAACCGCAATACATGCCAACATTTTTTCTCCTTAAAGTGCCAACACGGCAATTAAACCCAAATACTGAGGTTTAAGTTTAGAAAAAACAACTCGTACTGTTGTCCGAACTAATAACTTTTGTTTTAAAAGAACACAGAGAGTTCAATGATACAAATTTTAAATAATGATATAAATAGATAAAATTAAGCTTATATTTATTAGTATCTCCAACAAATGCAATACATACATAGACAGACTGCTGAATACATATACACAGTCTGCTGAATACACACACACAAGACTGCTGAATACACACACACAAGACTGCTGAATACAGAGACTGCTGAGTACACACACACACACAGACTGCTGAGTACACACAAACACACTGCTGAGTACACACACAGACTGCTGAGTACACACACAGACTGCTGAGTACACACACACAGACACACACACACAGACTGCTGAGTACACACACACACACACAGACTGCTGAGTACACACACACAGACTTCTGAGTACACACACACACAGACTTCTGAGTACACACACAGACTACTGAGTACACACACACACACAGACTGCTGAATACACACACACAGACTGCTGAATACACACACACAGACTGCTGAGTACACACACACAGACTGCTGAGTACACACACACAGTCCGCTGAATACACGCAAACACACACAGACTGCTGAATACACGCACACACACACACTGCTGAATACACACATACTGCATTGAGGTGGGGGGTGCGTGTGTGTGTGAGTGTTGTATGTGAGGGGTGCTGTGTGTGTGCTATATGTGTAAGGGTACTGTGTGTGGGGGGTAGGGGTACTGCTGGGAGGGTAGGGGTACTGCTGGGAGGGTAGGGGTACTGTGTGAGGGGGTAGGGGTACTGTGTGAGGGGTAGGGGGTACTGTGTGTGGGGGTAGGGGGGTACTGTGTGTGTGGGGGGAATGAGAGTACTACTAAGGAGGGTTGGGGGTACTGTATGTGGGGGGTAGGGGGTACTGCTGGGAGGGTTAAGGGGTACTGTGTGTGGGGGGGGTAGGGGTACTGTGTGTTGGGGGTAGGGGTGCTGTGTGTGGGGGGTAGGGGTGCTGTGTGTGTGTGTTGGGGTAGGGGTGCTGTGTTTGCTTTTTAGGGGGTAGGGGTGCTGTGTGTGTGTTGGGGGTAAGGGTGCTATGTGTGAGGGTACTGCTGGGGGGTAGGGGTACTGCTGGGGGTAGGGGGTACTGCTGGGGTAGGGGCACTGCTGGGGGTAGGGGTACTGCTGGGGGGTAGGGGTACTGCTGGGGAGGGTAGGGGTACTGCTAGGGGGGTAGGGGTACTGCTGGGGAGGGTAGGGGTGCTGGGGGGTAGGGCTACTGCTGGGGAAGGGTACTTCTGGGGGGGTAAGGGTGCTGTGTGTCAGTATACCCCCCTCCCTCCTTCTTACCTTTAATGAAGTGGGGGGAGGGGACACAGCGATCCCTGGTGGTCCGGTGGTGGTAAGCACTGCAGGGGGAGGGCTCCAGGAAACAGCTCCCCTGTCCTCCCGCGCAATGCTGTGTGGAGCGTTGCCATGGTAACGCGCGGCAACGCTCCACACAGCATCGCGCGGGAGGACAGGGGAGCTGCTTCTTAGAGCCCTCCCCCTGCCTCCCGACCCGGAAGCAGAGTAGGCGCCTGCCGTTTCGGGCAGGTGCCTACTCTGCAGTGATGGCGAACCTGTGGCCGCGTGCCCACAGAAAGGGCCCGGCGTGCCACCTGTGGCACACGTGCCATAGGTTCGCCATCACTGCCCTAGAAGGCTGTGGTTACTGCAAGATCTGTGACAATCCTACCTGTAAAAGAGGTGGTTTGTTACATATGGTGGAGAATGCGGGCAGCCACGTAAGCCTGAGGGTAGAGGTCATTTAAAATTCAACATGGAGGATGTTATCAAGGCTCTGATTCAATCCACCTCTGTGCAACATGAAGCTAACAGGAGAGCTGCAGAAAACAGTGCAGCCCTGCAGCAACTGGTGCTGGCCCAGGCAGAGTGTGCTAAAGTCCTGGCCAAAACACAAATGGAGTGCACTGAGTCCTTGGTGAAACAGCTTGTTGTGACACAAGCGGAGATGTTTAAAGTAGCCCGTGAGGAGCAGCAAAAAGTCACCCAGGGACTACAACAGGAAATCCAAGCTATCTCTGAAAAACTGAATGGAGACCCTGATGGAAGATACCAGGGGCCAAAGGTGATTCGGGCGAGCCACTATCTTCAGAAAATGACCGCATCAGATGATGTTGAGGTGTACCTTCTGGCATTTGAGCGCACTGCTGAGAGGGAGGGATGGCCGGCTGGTGAGTGGGCAAGCATACTGGCACCGTTCCTAAGTGGAGAGCCGCAGAAGGCGTATTATGACCTAGAACCAGCCGATGCAAGTAACTACAGCAAATTGAAAGCTGAAATCTTGGCACGACTGGGTGTAACCTCTGCAGTACGTGTCCAAAGGTTCCACTCATGGTCATATTCTTCAGACAAAGCCGCGCGTTCCCAAATGTTTGACCTCATACACCTTGCACGGAAATGGCTACAACCTGAAATCCATTCAGCTAGCCACATTGTGGAAACCTTAGTAATGGACCAGTTTTTGCGTGGTTTACCAGCTGCCCTCGTCGCTGGGTCAGCCAAAGTGACCCCCACACAGCTGACCAACTGATTGCCTTGGTGGAAAGATATGTGGCTGCAGGAGAACTGCTATGTCCTACTTCACAGGAAAACCCCCGCAATCCTAAGCCCCAAGATTCTGCAAGACCTTGTAAGACTGTTCAAGGTTTAAGGGGAGCTGAAGAGCTGCAGCTCTATACACAAATCACCAGGGGGGCATCCAGGTCTAATAGGCCTGGGAAAGGAACTAATTGGTGGTCAGATTTTACTGTCAAATGTTTCAAGTGCAAAGAGGATGGTCATATGGCCAAAGACTGTCCATTGAAGGATGAACCTATGGAATGCAATATGGGCAAAGATGAGGGAGCACGTTCATTTTTGCTCAACTGTTATGGTACTGTTAACAATGACTATGATAATAACCCTCATAAATGCTGTGTAACTGTGAATGGAAAAATGTCTAGAGCATTACTTGATTCGGGTAGTATGGTTACATTGGTAGCAGAGTCTGTAATACCTTGTGTAAAACCTGATCATGTACAGAAAATAGGCATTATCTGTGTTCATGGTGATAAAAAGGAATACCCCACTGCGGAAGTAAATATTGGAACCCAGTATGGGGATTTAAAGTACCGAGTGGGTGTAGTACCTAGATTTGCCCATGAGGTAGTGAACGGTAGAGACTTTCCTCATTTTCTAGAATTAAGGGCAGCTGTACAAAATTTATCAGAAATTAGTCAATCGGCCGAGGATAATGTGTTCCCTTTTTCCGTTATTTACTTGGGTTTTGACCACTGTGACGGAAAAATAAGAAAAAGGAGAAAATACTGCCCTAAACCAGTATTAATAGGAGATAACCCAGCTCAAACTAGTGAGGATCCTACTAATACTACAGACAAGGATAAGGACTTAATTGATATTGGAATCAGTCCAGGTAATTTTAAAAGTGCTCAGTGGGAAGATCCCACTTTAGTGACAGCTAGAAATGATATTAAAGTTGTAAATGGGGTTGCTAATCAACCAGGAGAAGCCCTACCGTTCCCCTATTTTGAAGTACAAAATGGCCTAATTTACCGTGTAGAAAAAAGGGATTCAGATATCATTAAGCAGCTGTTGGTTCCTCAGACTTACCAAAATATAGTACTAAAGTTGGCTCACAGCCACATATTAGGGGGACACTTGTGAGTCGAAAAAAACTAGAGAGAGAGTCCTTAGAAGGTTTTACTGGCCTGGAGTGTTTGCTGCTATTACAAACTATTGCTCCTCATGTCCTGAGTGCCAGTACAGGGCTCCTTTCAAGACTTTTCGTAGTCCACTTGTACCCTTACCCATAATTGATGTGCCTTTTGAAAGGATCGCTATGGACTTAGTGGGGCCACTGGTAAAGTCTGCTAGGGGACATCAATATATATTAGTCATCTTGGACTATGCAACTTGCTACCCAGAGGCCATTCCCTTGCGTAATACCTCTGCAAAGTTAATAGCTAAGGAACTTATGTTGATGTTCAGTAGGGTGGGTATCCCTAAAGAAATCCTGACAGACCAGGGAACCCCGTTCATGTCCAGAGTCACAAAAGAGTTGTGCAGGCTCTTGCAGGTTAAACATCTTAAGACCTCAGTATATCACCCACAGACTGATGGTTTAGTAGAGAGGTTCAACAAAACCCTTAAGAGTATGCTACGCAAGGTAATTGATGCAGATGGAAGAAATTGGGATTTTTTTATAGCCATATCTACTGTTTTCCATTAGGGAAGTTCCACAGGCCTCCACAGGCTTCTCTCCTTTTGAATTGTTATATGGAAGACATCCCGGGGGAATATTGGATATTGCTAAGGAGACCTGGGAACAGGAGACTACTCCTCACAGGAGTGTAATTGAGCATATAACTCAAATGCAGAATAGAATGGCCACCATCATGCCTATTGTCAGGGAACACATGCTGGAAGCCCAGCAGGCTCAGAAAAACAGCTATAACCGTAATGCTAGAGTCAGAGTGTTCCAACCTGGAGACAGGGTATTGGTTCTGGTCCCTACTGTGGAGAATAAGTTCCTTGCGACTTGGCATGGACCCTATGAAATAATAGAGAAAGTGAGTGATGTCAATTATAAAGTCAGACAACCAGGAAGAAGAAAGCCTGAACAGTTGTATCATATAAATCTGTTAAAGCCATGGAAGGACAGGGAGGTCCTGGTTGCTTTAAAACCTTCAGAACCTCCTATAGTAGAACCAGAGGTGAACGTATCTGAGACTCTGTCTGTACATCAAAAGCAAGAGGTCAGAGATTTCATCAGAAGAAATAGGGATGTTTTCTCGGTAGTTCCAGGAAAGACTAAGGTGATTAAACATGACATAATAACCGAACCAGGGAAAAGAGTTAACCTCAAACCCTATAGAATTCCTGAGGCCCGGAGGGAGATTATAAACTTAGAGGTTGAGGGCATGTTAAAACTTGGAGTCATTGAAGAATCCCAGAGTAACTGGAGTAGTCCTATTGTATTGGTGCCAAAACCTGATGGCACATGGAGGTTCTGTAATGACTACCGCAAGTTAAACGCCATCTCAAAATTTGATGCTTACCCAATGCCCAGAGTTGATGAGTTAATAGAAAGACTGGGTAAAGCTTGTTATCTAACAACCTTGGATTTAACAAAGGGTTACTGGCAGGTCCCTCTCACTGAAAGAGCCAAAGAAAAGACAGCCTTTTCAACACCCAGTGGCCTGTTTCAGTACACTGTATTGCCATTTGGGTTACATGGGGCACCTGCCACATTCCAACGAATGATGGACAGAATTCTTAAACCTCATGTTCGTTATGCTGCAGCATACTTGGATGATGTCGTCATCCACAGTGCAGACTGGGAATCCCACCTCCCCAAAGTTCAAGCGGTGCTTGATGCTATCCGCTCAGCGGGCTTAACTGCCAATCCTTCCAAGTGTACAATTAGTTTAGAGGAAGCAAAGTACTTGGGTTATTCTATTGGGAGGGGTTTGGTTAAACCACAGGAAGCCAAAGTGGAAGCCATACAAAAATGGCCACAGCCCCTTACAAAGAAACAAGTAAAGGCATTTTTGGGTTTAATTGGATATTATAGGCGGTTCATCCCAGATTTTGCTACCATTGCTGCACCTCTAACAGACCTTATTAAAGCAAAATCCCCAGTCATAGTTAAATGGTGCCCTGAGGCATTAAAGGCTTTTAAGAGTCTGAAGGAAGCTATCTGTAGCCATCCTGTCTTGGTGACCCCAGATTTTTCCAGGGACTTTATAGTTCAGACAGATGCAGGGCCGGACTGGGGAAAAAATTCGGCCCGGGCATTTTTAATTACAGCGGCCCACTGAAAAGGGGGCTGGGCCAGATAGGGTGTGTTTTGTCATCCCCAATAACAAGCACGCCCCATCTCAAAGTGAGCATGTTGGTTCAATGCTCTTCCAGGGCATGAGAAAAGGGCCCTGTATTTGATCTGCACAGCGCAAGCAAATTTAATAACATGCTTGCATTGTGTTTGCTTGAAATTTGTCTCAGGGGTTTCCATAATTGGAATACTCACTGTATCCCATTTATGGAGACACTATGTGTTTGCTTAAAGGGTATCTAGTGTGTTCATAGGGGATCCTGAGTGTGTATGTCAGAAATGTAGTGTGTGTGTAAGTGGTGCAGCATCTGTGTGTAGGGGATCTAGTGTGTGTTTGAAGGACTCAGGAGTGCGTATAGGAGATCTAGTGAGTGTGTGAGTGGTGCAGTGTGTTTGGGGGGTGCTGTGTGTGTGAGGGGTGTAGTGTGCATTTGTGAGGAGTATAGTGTGTGTGGGGGGTTGCAGTATGTGTGTGGGAGGGTGCAGTATGTGTGTGTGGGGGTGCAGTATGTGTGTGTGAGGGTGCAGTATGTGTGTGTGAGGGTGCTGTGTGTGAGGGCGCTGTGTGTTAGGGCACTGTGTGTTAGGGCACTGTGCGAGGGTTCTGTGTGTGTGAGGGTGATGTGTGTTGGGGTGCTGTGTGTGTTGGGGTGCTGTGTGTGTGTTGGGTTGCTGTGTATGTGTTGGGTGATGTGTGTGTGCTAGGTTGCTGTATGTGTTAGGGTGCTGTGTGTATGTTAGGGTGATGTGTCAATGTTAGGGTGCTGGTGTTAGGGTGCTGTGTGAGTGTTAGGGTGCTGTGTCAATGTTAGGGTGCTGTGTGTGTGTTAGGGTGCTGTGTCAATGTTAGGGTTCTGTGTGAGTGTTAGGGTGCTGTGTGTGTGTTAGGGTGCTGGTGTTATGTTGCTGTGTCAATGTTAGGGTGCTGGTGTTAGGGTGCTGTGTGTGTGTGTTAAGGTGCTGTGTCAGGGTGCTGTGTCAATGTTAGGGTGCTGGTGTTAGGGTGCTGTGTGTGTGTGTGTTTTAGGGTGCTGTGTATGTGTTAGGGTGCTGGGTGAGGGTGATGTGTGTGTTTGCAAGGATTTTGTATTGGGGGAGGCAGGTAAATGGCACTATTAATGTTTTACTAAAAAAATAATAATAATAATAATAATAAATACACAATAATAATAATAAATACATAATAATAAATAATAATAAATAATAATAAATAAATACATAATAATAATAAATACATAATAATACATAATAATAATAAATACATAAATACATAATAATAAATACAAATAATAATAAATACATTATATCCCCCTCCCCTATTCTTACCTGTAGTGCTGCTGACATCCATCCCTGGTGGTCCTCGTGGTAAGTGAACTCTAGCCCTTTGGGGCTAGAGTTCACTCTCGCGTGACCCGGCCGGTTGCCATAGCAACGGTCCGGATCTCGCGAGAGGAACCCGGCGGTGCTCTAAGTAAGAGCTCCGCCGGGTCCTCTCTCCTGGCGGCTGTCTCCCTCCCTCTCTCCCAGCTGGAGGCCGCGTTTGAGCGCATGTGGGCCGGTGAGGGAGATCTTTGATCTCCCCACCGGCCCTTCATGGAACATAGCGGGGCCGGCGCTCGGATAGTGCCGGCCCTGCACGGGCCGGCAGGGGAGATCCTGTGATCTCCCCTGCCGGCCTCGGCCCCACGGCCAACGCGGCCCACCGGGCATTTGCCCGGTGTGCCCGATGGCCTGTCCGGGCCTGGACAGATGCTTCTGATGTTGGATTGGGGGCTGTTCTTTCACAGGAATGCCAGGGTGAAGAACACCCTGTTTTCTTTTTGAGCAGGAAGTTAAACACACATGAGAAGAACTACTCTATTGTTGAAAAAGAGTGTCTTGCTATTAAGTGGGCATTAGACTCTCTTAAATACTACCTGCTAGGCAGAAAGTTCCGATTGATAACGGACCATGCACCTCTGACATGGATGTATCAGAACAAGGAAAATTACTCCAGAGTAACCAGATGGTTTTTGAGTTTACAATCTTTTAATTTCACTGTGGAACACAGGGCTGGTCTGCAACAAGGTAATGCTGATGGGCTTTCGAGGGTACACTCTCTGATTTCCATGGTCGCTCAAACCCATGGGTATGAGCTGGAGGGGAGGATATGTGAGCGCAAAAGTGGAATTGTGATTGATGGAAGATACATCAGGCCTGATTTGTTAAACAGCAACCTGAGAATTTTCAGTTAAATGCCCCAGGAAGAGATGTTAGAGTTTGCAATCTACATTGCTGATGTTCTGCAAAACATGGTATGGGTCCCCGGGGTGGAGTATTTGGAGAGCAGGGTGGGCCAATGCTCCAACAGCACTAGTTGCTGTGTATCAGACCACAATTTAGATCTGACTTAAGAGTTAACTAATTGGCACTCACCTGTAGTTAGTCAATTAGTAGACAGGCCTATAAAAGAAGAGGGAAGCCTGCTGCAGAGTGAGGAAGGAAAAGACAGCTAGCAGAGTGAGTGACAATTGTGTTTATTGCAAAGCCATTTCTTTTGTTTGGAAAATTGGTAAGTGGGAAAGCCACCCAATTACAGATAGTAATTCCTGTCTAGTAAGAGCTCAAGTAAGAGCAAGGGATTTTGTTTGTTTTGTTATTATTTAAAGCACCTGTTTTCTTGCTGAATAAAAAAGGAAAACTGAGCTGAATGTGTCCTGAACTTTGTATACCCTAGAAGGCTGTGGTTACTGCAAGATCTGTGACAATCCTACCTGTAAAAGAGGTGGTTTGTTACAATATATATATATATATATATATATATATATATATATATATATATACACACAAGAAATCAATATAAATACAAATAGAGCAGGCAGAGTACACGTAAATAGGCCTAATGCAAAATGTAAATAGTTAAGGCAGGATCGTGCAGCCACCACAGAATATAGGTGGGGTATGGATCCTAAGCCACCAAGCATTAAATAATAAACACCAAAGAGCAAAGCCCAAAGCAGGTCACACGTAAATAAGGCAGCAAAGTCAGAATCACTGGAAATGAAGTATAGGCAGGAACACTGCAAGCGAACACTCGAACGGGAGGCACAGGACCAGGCAGAGACGAAAACGCAGGACCATAAGGACATCGGAACAGGAACATAGGATCAGGATACACAGGATACAAGACACAGGAACAAGGAGCAAGGAGTCAGAATCATGGGGAACAGGAACGATGAACCAGGAAACACAGGATACAAGATAAAGGATAGAAAATAATGATCTGACCCGGAGTGAGGGGAGAAACCAGAATAAATAGGTGCTAAACAAGGGCCAGGTGAAGTGCTTAACGAAGAGAAAGAGAAACAATGCCAAACAGAAACAGTGGTGAGTGTGAATACTGCACGAGGGCATATTAACTAAGGAGTGTCGTGACAAAATCCATGCTCATTCCATATTCTAGAAACTCTGGTGGCTCATATTCCTTGCTATCCTATGAATGTTTGCAGTGTCCATCAAAGCATAAAATACATGTGCAATATCTCTAAATTACCCAGTGCCCTAAAGTGTAAATGTACTTACATTATTAAGAGGTAAATGTATCATGACAGGTGCATAGTCGCCATATGGGCAGGGGAGGGATACATGAACCTAACCCCAACCTACCCAATAAGACACCGACACTCATGGGTATGGGTCAAAATTGTCAACCGCTTTAATGATAATAATAATAACTTATATAACAATTATATATAAAGGTCATTACCTGCCACACCCTCAACATTATATAATCTCTCCCATATTTAAATCAAGGCAATGACCCACAACATAACACATTTCCCAACATATAACAACCATATAAATATAACATGTAAAGTGCCAACATTCATCAATTTCACCTGGTAGGAGTATACCCAGATACCCTTACACCACCAAGGTTCTGAGCCACCAACAGACTCGAAACCTACCAAAACATGTACGAAGAGTGTACCCTTTTAATCAACTAACTCCCCTTACTCCTATATTAACTAAGGCCCATTTTTCCTTAATATTCCTTACCCCACCCCGCCACAAGTTCAGACCTTGAAACCTTAAGAGCCCCGCCATTCCTGCAGAAATAATGGCCTGGCCAAGCCTTTCTGTAATCCTAAATTAAGCAGGTCCAACCCCACATCTGAGACATGGTCCCCATCAGGAGACGTAGACGGGGAACTATTTCTGACCAAACCAGCTGCACCCCAGGGACCCTCGCCCTAATACGGTTAATATCCTGCTTCATCCTCTTAACCAGGAGACGCTGCAGGATAAGCCCAAGGTCATTACCACCTGTGTGTAATACCAGCAGATCCAGCCTCCTAGCACCTGTAGCCAAACCAGAGCAACCTCATCCGGTATTCAGGGAAGCCCAGCTGCTGACCCAGAAAATGAGCTGCAGCTCTTCTTTTGGCCCAGAATATGACAGAATGGCCTACGATCCAAGCCATTTGACCTACAGGAACAAGAGAAACATGTCAGCCTTGGCACGGCCCACCATGCTGACACCCCCCCAAGCTAGCCCTCACACCAGTTTGTCAAGGCAAACGTAAGACTGGAATTGAACCGATTCCCACCTACCAATATTTTTCACAAGCTCATCCCCCAGGGAGAATGGGGTCTTTGTTCGGTAACCGAACAACCATGGTTATAACTAAAATAAAAAGTTTCATAAGTGACGGGGTGTTCTGTCACACTGCCCTTATGCCATCAATCTTTCTATGGTTCGATTTCCCAAACATATAATGTTCCCTCAAATGGGCACTAGCTTCTCGTGTGGCTCTTGCTGCTAAACATATGGTGACCCAAAAGTGGAAAACCACTAAATGCCCGACAGCTATAAATTACAAGCTAAACTCAGTCTTAATCATACTTATGAATTGGCCATGACACTGACAACTCAACAACAGGAACAACTGACTCTTATGTGATCATGGGACAAACTAAGAAATGGGAGCTCATAGGAATCTTCCTCAGGTACTCGACATAAATGTCATGAGAGTTAGAAATATGTGCAAGCTATATTGCTCTTCGAATCCAGAGAAAGAAATTAGAGTTCATAAGAGATTTTACCGGGGGACCAACCAAGGGAACTGTTTGTCCTGTTTACGGTCTTCCTTTTTTCTTTCTTTTCTCATTTTATTTCTTTAGTTGTATGCAATTCCATATGAGAGTCTGTTATTTTGGTTTTTTTTTCCTTTTTGTTTCTTTTAAATTACTTGTCCTGTACATGTTTAGACAATGTAATCTTACTATTTATATTGAAGTCTATAAAGCTGCAAACTCTGAGTAGGTGTGCTTTTGACTAACAATGTGATGTACTGAAAACTATCAATGAATGTGTAGCGGTGCTGCAATCCTAAAATACAATATCTCCGCTGGAATCCTCTGAAGCTGGAATAAAGTGCTGGTCAGTGATTATAACCCATTCCCCCAGTAACTGGACGACACAACTGAACTTTATTCGGTCACACATGCCATTTTCTACATGGCCCCTAGCATGGGGTCTCCACAACAGCATTACATGTTTTTTTCCCAGGAGTCTCTGGGACTGAGAGAGAATTGAGCTCTAATCTGGGTAACACAATTATCTCTCAGTTACAGGAAATATATGCAATATTGTAAATCAACCCCCAAAAATAAGGAACACAGGAGACCCACAAGTCCCATATCCCCTAATAGCCCTGGTCTGAGTTCCCAACATATCCAAAAAGCACTGAAATCGGTTTGGTGAAATGAAATCGCCATTCGTGAGAAGTTTTGAAAAATCGGCTAGGTGATGGCCCAAAAGAGTTCCAGAGAATTCATGGCAGCGGCAGGTCTCTGTTCAGGGGTTCCTGTACTAACACCGATGAACGCTGCTCCTGGCTCTTAAGTAGTGATCGCTTCTCCCAGTCAGTAGTTTCCATCTCCCACACATGGTTCATGTAGATGGTCGAGAAAGTGTACGGGTAGCAGTACCATCCTTGCCAGGGTTCGCTAGTGCATGTAGCCAAAAAGAGTTCCATGCACTCAATGACCAAGTACCACTGCCTGTGTTCGGGAGACAAAATGGCCACGGAAAGCACTCGAGTTAATCATTTAATTGCGGTTAACAGCCATGGGTGGTCGGTGTTCTGAGTCAATAAAGAGGGGTACCACAAAAGTTCTGTTTGGTTCCTGAACAGGGGGATATGGGTTTGTTCAGCAGAACGAAACATGTGTTCGGCCAACATCAGGGACTGATACCAGGTCAGCCACAGAATGTAATGTGTATCAGCCAAAAAAATGTAATATGTTCACATGTATGCTTCAATAAAATATAATTTACATTTTTTTTTGCATTGCTCTAAATCAAGTAAGAGAGACCTTATTCATAAAGTTAGATTTCCTTTTGAATCTTCTATTTGACGTTACATGTTTCTCATGATAGTTATACAATGTGATTTTAGTTTCCTCTAGGTTGCATCTGAAGATGAACCAAATATACTCTTAAAAATCTGAATTAAATCTGTAGTTTATTTTAAGTGGGGGGATCTAAGCACTATAACTACTTACACTTTTGAAGTGGTTATGATGCAAAGACTATGTCTCAGTAGGCTTTCACTTTAAAAATGTGCCATTCCAGAGATATAC